AGTGAAGAATACCTTGTCCTGATAGAAGGATCTTTACTCAGGGAGCATGCCTGATCCTACAAATGTATCTTAATTAGAGATGGGGGTATTCGTATATTAATATCCCTGCACAGGTGAAAATAATGAGGGTCCAGCCCCATAGGGTCGAACTATCCATTCTCAATTTTACCTCTGCCGCCAGCTCTGCGGAGGCTTCCTATTGCGCCGTTGTCCGGAATCAGTTACCCAGTCCTGGCAGATGGGATGACAAGCTTCTCTGCTAGGTCGGAGAGTGGCTAATCCAGCGCAATAGGAAGCCACTGCGGAGCTAGCAGCAGTGACAAAATCATGAGTGGACACCTGTTATTTCCACGTGTGCGGGGATATTCGAATACGAATACCCCATCTCTAATCTTAATGAAAGACTTCATTATGGATAATATGTTGAAAGAAGGTTATATTTATACCAACATAATTTACTGTATTTACATCCGAGTGGACAGCCTAAAGCCATGTATTACACGTATGACTCTCAGTGTAATTTCAGAAGCCCTTTGCAAGGGATTAGATCTCTGCAAGAGTGACCTACCCCCTCCCATGCCATGAATCTACTAGAACAGAGGTTCCCAACTTTGTGTCTCCAGTGGTTCTTGGACTAAAGTCCCAGAAGTGTTCACCAATAGCTGTGCTGGCAAAAATTTTTGGGAGTTGACCTAAATCATTTTTAAATCCATTTTTAAAAGTTTTAATTCTGATTGAAATCAATCCACCCAGCATTGCCACTGATGGATTTTCTCCCCTATAACAGGCTTTTTACTATTCCAGATATGTATTCTACATATTCAGGTCAGTCCAGAGCACCTTAATCCTAGTTTGGAAGAATAATGGAACTGTGACAGGTTGCCACTTTCAGACATCATTTATTGCTTCCCAAAAGACACAGTGAATTGAGCATGGAAATGTTTCTAGATGTCCTCTGTGCCCTGGATCTGGCACACATATTCTATGTCTTTAAAAGCCTTGGAGGTTCTTAAATGCAAGACTAGAAGCAAGTAAGCAATTCCAGTAAACAGTCATGTGAAAAAGAAAGTGCAACCCCTTTGAATCCTATGGTTTTACATATCAGAACATACAGTAATAAAAATCAACTGGTCCTTAGCATCTCCATTTTGGCTTTATTTTTGTTAAATAAATCATGCATGGTGTAATATGTCATGTGTTGTTCATCCGAGGTTGTATCTACCTGATTTTCAGGCCTGCTAAGGACCAGATGACTTTTATTACATCCTGATGGGCAAAACCATAGAATTCATAGGGGAAACCCATAGCAGTTGTGCTGTCAGGATTTCTGTTTTTAGGATTACTGCAATGCTCTTGTAATTTTTACCTACAGCATTTCTAGCCATGGGACCCTACCCAGCTTTCCTGTGAGCCTTCTGAAATCTGATTTCCAAGGTACAGTGGTGCCTCGACTCATGAACGCCCCTACCTACGAACATTTCGACTTACGAACAGCTCTACTCGCAAAATTTTGCTTTGACTTGCGAGCGGAGCTTCGACGTAAGAACAGAAAAAGGGTAAAAAGGCGGGAAATTCAAACCGTTGGTGGCGAAGAGGCTGCTTCTTTGTAGCTCTTTCACCCCAATGGTTAGAGCAGGGGGTCAGGGAACTTTTTTACTCCTGCAGGGCAGGAGGAGGAAGGAGAGGCTGGGGCAGCTCCAGATGGCTGCCGGGCACAGGAAGCTGGTGCGTTCCCTGCCCATCCCTGGTGCGAGTCTACTCATGAGTGAGGCCCACTAAAGGTGCGGGTCTACTCATAAGTAAGGGCCCCCAAAGGGGATGGGGCGTGCAGGTCGTAGTGGCTCCTCCATGGACAGGGCGTGCAGCAGCAGCACAGGAGGAGGAAGGAGAAGTGGGGCGGCTCCAGTTTGCTGCCGGGCACGAGAAGCTGGGGCGCTCCCTGGTGTGGGTCTACTTATGAGTAAGGCCTGCCAGAGGCACAGGTCTGCTCATGAATAAGGGCTGCCTCCACCTCCTTGGCTGCGCTATGGCCTGGCCGGGGCCTGTTGCTGGCCGCTATCCACCAGGGAGTGAGTGCCATCAGAGGAGGCTTCAGTCTGCCTGGTAAGGGGCTGCTTTTTGCTTTTTAGAAACTTCTGGGTGGGTTTTGCAGGGTGGGTTTTGGCTGAGGGGGGGTTATGTTTCTGTGCTGTGTTGTTTGTTTTTGGTGTTTTTTAAATTATTATTATTATTATTTTGCAGCCTTCCGGGCTTGCTCTGTTTATATTTGGTTGTTGTTGTTTTTTAAGCCCCAGCACCTTCCCATGGGGCTTTCTTTGTGCTTAAATATTTTTTTGGTATTTTTTTTGAAATGCTGGAACGGATTAATCCCATACATTTCAATGGGAAATGGTGCTTCGATTTACAAAAATTACGAGTTACGGCCACCATTCCAACACAGATTAATTTCGTATGTTGGGGCACCACTGTACATATCTGTGACATTCACCTCTTTGTGCTCCAGTCGTGTTTTCCTTTCACTGCCACCAGTGGATTACCTCAATCCACAAAATAAATGACATTTGATCAGATACTTTTATTGTGAATGCAAACAAACTTATTTATTAAAGTGAAACCAATTTATTAATCATAGAGGTTCTTCAGATGTACATACTATTCTCTTGCCATATAATTTCCAACTTCTCTATTTATCTTAACCAATCTCTAACTCTATATTTATTGATTGATTGATTGATTGATTGATTGATTGATTGATTGATTGATTGATTGATTTGATTTGATTTGATTTGATTTGATTTGATTTGATTTATACCCCACCCATCTGGCCTGTAAGACCACTCTAGGCGGCTATATCTCTTCTGACTCTCTCTCTCTGACTCTGACTAACTCATTCTCACTCTGACTCTTGACTGACTCCTTTCTTCTCTGGCTCCGTCTTTTAACCTCTCTCTCGGCTCCGTCTCTCCACCACATTTGCCTAGAACATGAATAATACAGTGGACCCTCGACCTATGGAATTAATCCGTATTCGAACGGTGTCCGTAGGTCGAAAAGTCTGTAGGTCGAAAATGCATTTCCCATAGGAATGCATTGAAAACCATTTAATCTGTTCCAGCCCAAGACCCCCCCATACACAAAAAATTTAAAATAAATTTTTTAAAAATTAACTTTACTTTTTCAAAGCCTTCCAGGGGTCCCCCGCTGCCACCATTGCCGTTGT